TCTGGCGAGGAGACGGCCGGCGGGGCCTCGGGCTGTGCCCGGAGATCGGAGCTTAGCGGGCGACCGCGCTCTTCGGCCGGATTGCTGGGCTGCAGCCGGAATCGCTGCTCTGCTCTCCCTGCTCGGGGCTTTGGGGTAGACTGAGTCTATTTCACTTTTCGTTTCGAAGTTGGCAGTGTGTGTGTTTAATGCCTTGGCGACTTCGTATTCCCTTCCAAACCCTTCATTTCTGTGCATTTAAGTTGCTTGGAAATGATTCTTTGGAGTTGTGGATGAGAGGCACTATTCTGATCTTGTTATCTTTTTAATTTTTTACAAAGACATCGAGGCATTTTTAAAACCTTAGTTGTAAGGAAGGAATTTCAAATTTATATCTCCATCAAACGTGTGAATCGTTCCCAAGTAGCATTCCTGAGGAACAGTGCAGGTGTAACTATCTCTCAACTGTTAACATTTCAGGCAACTTCAGCAAGTATTCACATCTTGATTTTTGTTAGAAAGCCTGGACCTGCAGTCAGAGACTCTCTCAGAATCTTCTTTGACTTGAAGAATGTAGTAAAAATATGTTGCTAGGGGCCGCCGGGTCCTTCACAGTTTTCTCTGCGTATACATCATGTTCCTTTGACGCCTAGCGTTTTTATTGCTTCCAAAATGATAGGCTGGGTGATTTTCTAAGAAAAATGTATAGCAAATCAGTGAAATAGTGTCTCAAGAGGGGTGCTGGTCGTTAAAAGAAAAATTAATCTGCTGTAAATGTTTAGGTATGTTAGGTGTGGGTGTGGCCTTCCCTATTATTAAGTCCCCATTGTTAACCTTCATATTTGCAGTGTAGATCTTGTGGAAAAGATCAGGTTTCCAGGGTCGTTGGTGATAAAACCGAAACTTCCCCTCTTTTAAATTAAACTTAATTCCTGTTGCTTTAACCATTTGAATACATTTGGCTTCTCTCCTCTCTCTGTCAATCCCATTTTCTCTGCTGCTCTCTGGATTGAACCCAGGACTTTGCTCAAGCAAACACTCCCGCTCAAATTCCATTTTATAGTATGACAGGTATAATCAGTGAAGAGTCTCCCAGAAGATGTATGGGTTATGTATATATTTTTAGGGCCTCACCTAGATAACTGCATGTAGACTTAAAGTTTCTTTAAACAGTAGAGATTCCATAGAATGTCATTGGCATTTCAGAATTTTTATTTTTTGCTAATTGAAAAGAGTGCTGGCATGTGGCACAGTGACCACTCTAGCCTTTTAGTTCCTTCATCCATAACGAGCAGCCCTTTGTTGCTGTACAATGACAGCATAGCTTATTATGACTTATTAGTATGTTCATTTTAAAATCATGTTTATAGCTACATGCTCACATTATAAAACTGCAGTATTATATTTAACTCTTTAGGGAAGGCATAGTAGATTGAGGCATGAAAGCAGCTGTAGATAGAAATTTGAAAACCATTTTTTCCTTTGTAAATGACATATGCCTTAGTTTCCCAAAGTCACCTAATAGTTTCAAGCTAAAGTAAGAATCCTTAACTTGAAGTTCTGGGTTTTTTCTTTTAATAAAACTTAAGTTTTTCTTTTATGGTTTTTTGAGGCAGAATTTAGCTGTGTATTCCAGGCAGACCTAGAACTTCACAGTGATACTCCTAGGTCAGCCTTTTTGAGTGCAGGGATTAGGCATGCCTTGAGACCTCTAGCTCTTTTATCTGTGTCTTTTAAGTAAAGCCAGTTTTTTAAAAATTTCCTATACATCAATAGACTTACAATATTGTGAATGTTGTATTTAGTATTCATTTTAGGGACAGGAGTGTGATCATAGATCAAATCTATAAACCGTTTTCTGATTTTTTTTATACTTCCCCTTTGAATTTTCTCAGCTACTGAGATTTTAAAATATTATTTGAGCTAAGAAGTAAGCAAACAAAAAAGAGTAAAGGGGTGATAAGATACCAAAAGGAATTTGTTACTAAGACAGGTTCTTCATCCATAAACTAAAGCATCTACTGTAGTGCTACATAGTAAGTGCTAATGAATAATTTAACTTTTTGTGAAACTGTTACATCAAATTAACCAAAGCCAGGTTAAAAGTGGCTTCAAATTGTAAATATTGACCCAAACTCATTAGTGTAAAGCAAACTTGCAGCTTGTATTTAGTTATTATCTTTCCATTTCATTCTCCTCTTAGTTTCCAGATTTGGAAGAAAATTACTGAAAAGAATTTTAATATTTCTTAAGTTCATTAAAGGGTAAATGATGAGATCTTTACAAATAGCTTCAACTTCAAATTCTATATTAATAACTGCCATAATATTGAAAAATTATTAGAAGTATATAAACTTGCATGGATCTAATATACCAAACCAATAATATGATATACATGATACAACTTAATAATGTGATATATGGCCCTCTTTTTCCTGGACTCTTTCCTGGACTCATAATTTCTTTTTCTTGTTATCTTGTCACAGGAGTTAGTAGCTGATTGGGGTTCCTGCTGCATCTATCATGCTGAGTCTTTTTTTAAAAACATCTCTGTGTGCAATATAATGTATGTATCATAAAATTGATGTGCTAGCCTGAGTCTTAGGTGCAAAGCTAAAAAAGCCCTTTAGGGTTAATTGACTTTGGCCTCATGTAACTTTTCAAAGTGGTAAACTGAAGAAACTTTTTAAAATGCTATGTTGTGCATAAAGGAAATGCAGTAAATTAAAGTTAAAATTTACCCCAAAGCTTAATGTGTGACTACTGTACTTTAGAAGTTCTTTCTTCTGTTTTGCAGACCTGTAGTTCTTTGAAATAGCTCAGTGTTTATCTTTTAAAAGTAGAATTTGATTGGTGTAAGTTCACCTTACATGAAATTTTGGTGTCGGGTGTTTTCATCATAGGAAATAAGGAATTTGTGTACCATAGGTTCTTTTTTGTTCTATTTTATTTTAAAAATCTTTATCCAAGAATGTTTCTTAAAGTTTCTAGATACTTTATAAAAAAAAAGTTACTTGGGGGTTGTGAGCAAATGATACTAGACTGTATGGGTGCTTTTTTAAAATTTGGTTTTTGCTTCCCCCCCCCTACATCCCCAGCCCTTTTTATTTTTGTATTTAAATTTTGAGACAAAATTACTAAGTTGCCCAAGCTGGGCAACTTGTGATACTCCTGCCTCAGCCTTTCTTAAGGATTGGGGTTACAGGCGTGAGCTGCTAAGCCCAAATGGCTTCTGACTTTAATTGCCATATCAGAATCTTATTAGAGCCATTCTTTTGTGTATGCTAGTTTTAAAATGTATTTGGGGAATATAAAAATCCTCTTGATTTGCTTATACTTTCCTACAGAGGACAGTAAATCATTATTTTGGAGAACAGGAGTGGTCTCACAGGCTCAATTTGCTTATTGAATTCATATTATTTGGGTAGCTGTATTATTTGGGGGGCCTCAATGGTACAATTTATAATTTAAAACTTGTAATTTGTTGTATAAAATATGCTGAACTAACTCAGGTTTTTCTACTTGCCTTAAAAGCACTCGACCTTTTTCCTTATAGTTTCTGGTGGAACACTGTCAGATCAGTACTGTAATGTTAAAATATATGCTCTCAAATTGTATAATTGATAATGTAAAATAGGAAGAAAAGGGCTAAAGCAGCAGGGGAAGTGGGAAGGGTAGGGGAAAGCAAAGAAGGCAAAAGAAAAAATATGATAAAAGGAAAAAATTGAAACAAAGTCTTTTTAAATAGGGAAGGGTGGAGGGGGTGAAGAGAGGGCGGGGGTGTGGGAAAAAATAAGAACCAAGATACATCATGTAAAGGTACAAGATCCCAATGATCGATGTAACTGTATTATATACCTAAAGTGTACCAGTAAACTTAATGAGGAAAAACAAATATGCTCTATGACCTTTAATGTTTTAGTGTTTATTGGCAGTGAAATATAATGAGTAAAAGGTTTAACATAGTACTTACATATTGGTCCTCTGTTTTATTCACTGTGATGTTCCCACCACCTAAAACAAAGCCTGTGCAAAACAGATGCTCAGTACATATTTAGTGAATGAATGAATTAATATTTACTTTTGGAATTATTTCTAACTTGATACCTTTGAGCCTTGTTTGTTTAATAATCTATTAGCAGATATCTGTAGATTGGATTAATTTTATTTATGGTTTTTAAAGTAAGCCTGCAGTTTTATCTTTGTATAGTGCTAATTAGAATAAAAATAGGGAGAACTCAAAACTATTAAAAACAATTCTTCCACTTACATAGCTTTTGTATGGAAATAATTTTATAAAAATGTAGTTTCCTTCATTAAGAAACAAGTCCAAAAGGGGTAATGCTTGTCTTGGGGCAAATAAAATGTTTCTTGACCAGTTGCCTACAGCTGATGAGCTCCAGTAAGAGCGAAACCAGTTCTCACCTACTGAAAGTTTTGACATGTGAATTGGTCCTGTAGTACTGTGTCAGAAACAACTTGGGAAAAAATAAGAGTTTAAGTTAAAAGCAATTTTGTGACTAATGTTTTAAGACTTTTTCAAAGGTCGTGGGCATATTACTGATAGAAGGTATAGAAAAGACAACTTTTGATGTTAAATTTAGTCTTTCTTAAATTACAGGGTTTTCCGATACTCTCTTTTACCCCCAGAAGAATATTGAGCAGGGTATAAAATAAATTTCTGTTGTTCTGCACTGTCTTACAGATTATTAAATCTTCTTAGTACCTGTTACCTACTAAACTCTGGGCCCCAGATCATTCTGTAAACCCAGTGGGTCTCACCTTCATTGAGAACCACTGCTGAACATTTGCAACAATGAGTATCTGCAGTAGCAGATTTATTTGTCAGATTTATGTATTTATTATTACCATTATATTGCTTGATACTTAAGTACTTTGATTCAGTTCAGAGTAAGATTCTTTCTTGCAAGAACAGAACTCATTTAAAAGGTGGAAGGCTGCCTCTTCAACTATGTCCTAAGAAAGGCTCCATCTGCTTGATGAGTATAAATGCACTCTTTTAATTTTACGTATCATTTTTGTATGTGTGATGAGGGAAAATGTGGAGGAAGATGTGGCTTTAGAATCAATCATGTCATTAGACATGATTATTCTCTAGATAGCTGGAAGGGAAAAATATTTTAGATGGAAAAACAAATGATGCGTAGATTGGGTAGACTGGTGGGACTAGAAAATCATACTGAAGCACTAGGATTTTAGGAATGTGTTAGATAATATTAGGAAAGTATCACAACTGTAACTTGCTTACTGAGCAATCTCAACTCAGGTATCCAAATAAAAAGATTTTACTTGTATTTATTTACTTATTTATTTTTTGTGCTGCGGGGAAACACATTAAGGACCTCACCCATGCTAGGCAAACACTACCATTCTCCAGCTCATTTTTTTTGTTTGTTTTGAGACAGAGCCTTGCTGTATAGTTCAAGGTGGCCTGTCTCACTCTCTTGAGTGCTGGGATTACAGGTATGCCCCATTGTACCTAGCTTTAAAAAAATATTTTTAATGAGTCTCTAGTAAGAAGATGGTATAAAACACTCCCAGCCTGTCACCTTTCTTCTGAAGTGCACTCTCCTTTGCTCTGATGTTATAACATTTCTGCTACTTTTGATGACCACAGGAATTAAGACAGGTCCCTGTCATTTAAAAAGCAAACATAAGCAGCAGCAGCAACAAAATGTAATCACAAACTTATTCTTAAAGTTGAAGTTACTTCCCAGCTCCTTAGCTTGAGGAGGTGTAATTTGACTCCAAGACTGGTTCATACCCCTTTCTCTGGCATGCTCTTGGGGAGTTGAGGGAAGACAGTCAGCCTGCAGAGGCAGAGTTTTTTTACCTAAATCTTTTAAAGGGGGGAGAAATATCCCTGACTTCATTCTGGTTCATCTGGCTGCTTTTTTGTTTGTTTGTTTTTTTGGTACTGGGGATCAAACTCAGGACCTTGCACTTACGAGGCAGAGGCACACATGATAACACTGGACTAAATTCCTGGCCCCTCATCTGACTGCTTTTGATGGTGATATGTGAAGTGTCTGGTTGTTATAGGGGCGTGTTGTAGTTCCTGAGTCTTTCTGTCCCTGAAGACCTTCATAAAGCAGCTCCTCTTTGTTTGGCAGAGCCAGTGTCCTTAAACATTAACCCTCTTTTCTGGATTGGATGGCCTGCTACTTGATCTGATTCTGTCTCGCCCCTGGGCTATCCCAAGTAACCTGTGCTTGTACTAACCTTGCTCCTTTATTTTGAGGAAAACAGGAGAACAAATCAACAGTTAAATGTCATATGAGGTGACCAGAAGCCTGGATATCTTCCAAGTAGGGGGTGGTAACTATAGAAATGTAGGAGACTTAGAATTGTTAAGAGAATATGAGGATAAATTAAAGGAAGGAGTCAGATAACTAAGAAACATGATACCATTGACTGAATAGAAAAGATTAGCTGGGGGTACTTAATTATAGAACTATAATTATGTTTTGAGTTTGAGATTATAGAGAAACTTTCCAGTGGAAATGCCTGTACTCAGAAACTTTAATACAGAGACAGTCATAGAATAAGGAGGAGATAAGTAGGTATCTGTAACTCAAGGATACAGGACTGAAAATAATTGTGTAGGCATCAGCTGTGACTTGTAGCTTCAAGTTATCTAAGTTGATGAACTCTAGGAGGAGAAAAGACTAGGACTGAACTTTTGGTTCAGGTGAGAGGATAATAAGCCAATATTTTCTTAATGTTTTTCTGTTGACAAATCATGACACACAGATAGGAGCCACAAAGTCATTGATAAAATTTCTTCTCAGTTACTGTGTGCTGGAGAGTTACAGTACCTTTAAAGTCTTATTGTCAAATAAGATTGTTTATCTTCTACACATTACTTTTTGACTGCTTTGAGCTCCATTTCTGTTGGAATGGCATTAACTAGTTATGTTTAAAACTGCTTCAGTTTTGGATTGATTTCATCAGCAACACAGTCACAAGTTTCTCAAAATGCATTGCTACTGGTCAGTGTCCCTGTTTGAAACCCATTTTACTTTGTCCTAGATTATGGAATATATCACACTTATAAGGCTTTTAATTTACTTACTGTGTATATTTGTATTTTCTAAACCAAGACTTTAACACCAGTGTGAGCTTTGGCTTGGTTATAAAATATATGGAGCAAGATAATGATAATTTCTGTTTAGTTGCTTTGAAATAAATGTAATACAGATAAGTAGAGTATGAAGGTCTACAATGGCTATAACAATTGATGCCTCAAAGCAGTCTAAATTGACAGACAGGGATACTTACAAGACAAACTAGTCTTACTCTAATCTCCCGCATTCCTAGAATAATGTTCCTCAAATACTAACTTTATCACATCATTTCTGTGCTAACAGATTTTAATTTGACAGCTGGGCATGGTGGTGCATGCCTGTAATCCAGCACCTGAGGCTAAGGCAGGAGGATCACTGCGGATTTCAGGCCAGCCTGAGCCACATAGCAGACTCTGTCTCAAAAAAAAGAACAACAAAAGATTTTCATTTGACCAACCTTTCAGAACCTCTGTGCTAGAAACTGTAGTATAATCAAGTATAAAAGTCTTAAGATTTATAATTTGTCCTTTTTAACAAAATTCACTCTTTACTATTCTCTGACCACCATGTCCATCATGATCTGATATAAACATGCAACTTCCTGTTATGCAAAAAAAAATTTTTTTTGGTACTGGGACTCGAACTCGGGTCCTTGTGCTTGCAAGGCAGGCAGTGGAACCACTGAGCTAAATCCCCAGCCCTGCAAAATTTTATTATTTGTTTTCCATTAGTATATCTTTCATCTGAAATTCTGTCCTACTTTCTGTCCAAACAATTATGGGCCTACTTTTTAATGAAATTTCATATAGCTTTGATAATTCATTTATCCTGAATATGCTTTTTGATACCAGACAAAGAGATTGGCAAGTCAGACATCACTGTGAGATTTTATATTTATCAAAGGGTAATAATATTTGAAGTTGACTAATTATAAAGTAATTGAATTACCACCCTATATGACACCAAAATGTACTCTAACATTAATTTTTAATGGTGCTTTTATTGACCTAGGCAGTGCATATGGGCTCTATTTGATTGCACCAAACATTGTTTTATTCCTGATGAGAATGTTTGAAAATCACCATGGTACCTTCTGGATCCTGCCTGTATGAAGAAATAATTCCTATCTGGGATCCTTTATGCTCTAACTTCCTTTCATTTCCACGCTAGGCCTCTGAGCTATAGGTAGCTATGTCTTGTTATTGTTTAGTTTCCTTTCTCAATACGTTTTTATCATCATCAAAACACAATGTTCTGTTATCTTGTTTTATGATTTCTCTTCCAGTGCTTTTAATTGCTGCCTTTATTCTCTAATATTTTTCTTATAGATCTTGCTGCTGTCTTTTCCCTCACAGAGTTAAAGAAATTCTACATATATTTTGGCTCTAACAATTCACATTACAAGTATTATTCTTTTTTTTTTTGGTACTGATATTGAACTCGGGCCCTGTGCTTGGGAGGCAGGTGGCAGAACCCAGTATTATTCATTATCTAATGTCTTAAAGGGATGATTGGGGAATGCCAGACTGAAACAGAAATTAATTAGTGAACATGGCTGATTGAAGAGGGGGAGGAGGAAAGACAGACTTTGCAGTGGCCCTGCTGGTTATACCCAACTTGGCTTGACTGTCTTAGTCTTTTTTCTGAAGGGAAAGCTTTTAGTAATGAATTATTACTGTTAAATTTGTGATCTTAGTTATTCTGTATCATGGAGTGTGTATGTGCAAAGATTTATGAAGTCTTAGTTTAAAAACTTTAAAATTTTGATGTTTTAATTTCTTAGATGTAAAACAAAAATCAGGAGTGGATGTGAAGAAATGCAAAGTGAATTGGTACCAGTCAGCATGTCGGAGACCGAGCACATAGCCTCCATTTCACCTGAGTTAAAGGAAGACTCATGTAACTCATTTTCTGGTGGTGAAAGCAGCAAATTAGAAAATGAATCCAAACAGTTGTCGTTAAACTTTGACAAAATCTTATGTCAGCCTAACGAACACTGTCAAATTGAAACTTCTGAAAATTATGTTCCAGATCATGGTGGAGGTGAGGATTCTTGTGCTAAAATAGATACATGCCCAGAAAATTCTGAACAAATAACTTACTTTCCTAGTGGAGATTCCACAAAACAAGTGTCAAAAACAAGTGAAACTGAACAGACAGTAACACAACTATTGGCAAAATTAAAGTCATCTACATTTACAGAAGCTGCTAATCAAAAGACTTACTCAGAAAGTCCCTATGATACGGACTGCACCAAGAAACTTATTGAAAAAATAAAGACTGTTTCAGCAGCAGAAGATTTGTTGGAACAAATAGAATCTGAACTCTTACCTACTGAGTTTGCAGAATACCAAGTATCAAATGGAATGAATAAAGGAGAACATGCATTGCTTCTGTTTGAAAAGTGTGTGCAAGATAAGTATTTGCAACAGGAACATACTATAAAAAAGTAAGTTTATTTCTTTAGGTAATAGTTTCATAAGGATTAGAGACTGAATTCTTGTAAGGAAATATCATCTTGTCTACTTTTAATTCTATAGTAGAGCCATGCACATCAATGATAAAAATGTCAACATTTTTTGGTAGTTTAGTAGTCTAAATATAAAGAAGTAAATATAATAAATTATGTAAGTTTATTAAAGAGCTAGAACTTTTAATAATAGTGACAAAAAATTTTTCTTTAAAAAAATTTTTTTAAAAATGATTCTGGGCTTTAAACAAGAGATCTTGTACATGCTGGCAAGTGCCTTCCCAGCTGAGCTGTACGTTCAGCCCCTGTTTTTCATTTTTATAAGTATGTGGAACAATGATGGCAAACTTATGGCACCTGTGTTAGTTTTCCTCTAAGATAAAAAATGTTAATGTATGAGTTGTTTTTCTAAACTGAAACTTCAGTATTCAGGTTTAATTGCAATATTGGGACTTTGTGATAAGTAAGTGGTTTGTGGGTTGCAGTTTGGGCACTTGTCTCTAAAAGGTTTGCCATCACTGTTGTAGAAATGCAGTAGTACCTCGGTTTACGAAAGCATTTGGCAGAACTTTGTTTTTGCTTGCCAACTCTACATCGGGTGACAAATCTGACTGTGGCCATCTTTCCCCCACAAACACACAAACCTGGCCGTCTTTTCCAAAATTGTGTAACCAGTTAAGTTCATTAATTGATGTACCACTCCATGTCAAAAATAAGAGAAATTCAGAAGAAAATTAAAAAGAATAAAGTTCATGTTTCCTTAAAATTCTCAGTATAAATTAATTGGTTTAAAAAATTAAAATTTAAAGACAGACCAGTTACTTGATTATTGTCTTTAGATTTCTCAGATTTGTGTACTTCTGTTTTAGTGATGATTTAATGTCATTCTATATTTTCATTTTAGATTTGTGTAGCTAAGTGATGTATTGGTTTAGGTACTCTTTTGTAACCTTTAAGAAAGGAAAATAAAAGATTAGCCTTCATTAAATACATTCTGATTCTTTTTAGAAAATATGATACTTAAAAAGCTTTTCTTTAAATTAGGGGGAGTGTGTATATAGAGAAAAGAAAGGAGGAGGTCCATATGCCAGAGGAGGATGACAGAGGAAAATATACCACATTCAAATATTACTTGATATGGAAATGGCTTTTTATGATCTCCCTGCTTCTACTGTACTCTGCCAGAATGTCCTGTTCAATGGATCAGTATTCACCAAGCCAGCTGGTTTACCCAGTGAACTTTAATCTCTTAATATTGAGGGCCAGTCCCCCTTTTCTCTACTTGTTTATTTTTAATTATGATAAAATGGAATCAAATTTACCATTTTGTCAATTCAAAATGTATATAGTTCTGTAGTGTTAACATATATTCACATTATACAACCAATCTCAAGAAAATTTTCAACTTGTAAATCTGAAACTCATACCCATGAAACTGTATCACCCTGTTCATACTGGGACCCAGTTCCTGGCAGCTGCCATTCTGCTTTCTGTTTCTTTGAGTGTGGTTACTCTTGATACTTCATGTAGGTGAAATCAAATGGTACTTATCTTTTTGTCACTGTCTTATTTCACTTGATATAACATCCTCAGTTTATCCATGTTGTAAATGTATCAGAATTTCCATACTTTTTTTTTTTTTTTCCCCAACACTGAGGATTAAATCCAGGGCATTTGCACTGTCCTTTCTATTTTTTATTTTGAGACAGGGACTTGCTAAGTTACCAAGTTGCTCAGACTGGGCTAGAAATTGTAATCCTCTTACCTCAGCTTCACAGAGTGTTAGAATTAAAGGATATGCCACCACACCTGGCTAGAATTTCTATACTCTTAAAAGTTGAATATTAACCTTCTCTGTATGTACTATGTTTTGTTTATTCATTCATGAACATTTGAGTTCCTTCTCCATTTTGGCTTTTATGAATAATGCTGCTCATGAAAACAGCTGTACAAAAAAAATCATGAAGATTCCAATGTCTTTCTTAATAGTCCCCCAAAACTAATACTCCTATTTGTATCCTTACTGTTACGTTATTATTATTATTATGCAAATAAACTATGTACTGTACTTTTTTTTAGTTGCACTGTCAGTGTTTCTTCCACTTGTACTTTTTAAAGGTAACTCCCTCATTTCCCTGCTCTCTATACCTATTGATTTAGATCATCCCCTGGAAATTACTTCTGATTCATCTTACCATTTTGCTTAGATATGAACTCTGACCACTTTCATATAGCGTGTATAACTTTTAAGATTACAGGGCCAGGGATGTAGCTCAGCAGCGCCACGCCTGCCTAAAAAGCGCAAGGTCCTGAGTTTGATTTCTGGAACCTAGGAAAAAAATTGAAGGTTATGCTTTTAATAATTACAGAAGACAGTTCTATGCTGTTAATCATGTGCCTGATACATTACATATATTAACTCAGGGAGTCTTCACAACAACTCTATGTGGTATGTAGTGCTGTTATTATCCCCATTTTAGAAATGAGGAACCTGAAACAGTGTTGTGTTACTTGTTTTCAGGGTCACACGCAGGTCAATACTATATTAAAATCTGGACCTTTTTAGTTTGACTTCAGAGGTTTTATAAGTGTTATTGGAAAGTAGTTATGATCTGTTAAATTTAAGAATTTTAGATGTGGAAAATGATTTGTTGTTGTTCCATCCTGTTGTAGCAGAGGCAGCATGGTGGGTAGGGTAAGCACAATTCTAAGCAGAATCCTGGATCTGGAATATTCCCCTTATTCTTTGTAAGCTCTGCTGCTTTGGCCAAGCCATCTTTGACTCAAAGATTTTTTATCTCTGCAAGGGGCACTGTACTTACCTAGTGGGACTTTTATGGGACATTAAGGCATTACAGATGACACATATTATTTTAAAGCTAGATTGATCTTTTGTTAAATACTTGTTTTTAATTGCAAATAAGATGCACTGATATAACTCAGGTTTTTAAAAATTTTTGCCTTCATTTAACTTTTATGAAAAAGATTTGTTTCATTTCCTTTTAAATTTTCACAATGCATATATTTCCAAATGTCTTTGTTTATATTTCTAATCCTTTTTTTTTGTCCCAGCTTTACTAAGGACAAAACTGCACATATTTTAGGTACACAGCATGATAATTTAATACATTGTAAAATGATTACCACAATCAAGTTAGATAACACATGTATCACCTTACATACTTTGTGTGTGACCACCTCAAGCTCTAAGTATACAATATAGTGTCACTAATTGTCACCACCATGGGTTATACATTAGGTTTCCAGGATTTATTCAACTTAGAACTGAAAATTTATACCCTTTGACCAACATCTCCCCTGGCAGGTACCATTCACTGTTTTTCTATTCCTGTATTTTCTGACAAATCAATATTGTTGTCTAGTGTCCCAACCAAAATTTTTAATTAAAGACAGGTATATCAATGGACTGGGGATTTAGCTCATTCATACCGCTGCCTGCCTCATAAGTGCAAGGCCCCGAGTTTAATCCCTGGTACCCCCCAAAAAAAAGAATAGGTATATCAATAATGTGTACTTAACCTATAAAAGTAATTTTGGTCTGTGGGCGTAGCTCAGTACTAAAATGAGCTTGCCTATGCTTGCCTAGCATACGTGAGGCCGTCCTGGGTTTGAACCCTAACATTGCAATAAACAAAACAAGACAACATCAACAAAAAAATTTGTATTTTTGTGTTTCTTGGTACCAGGGATTGAACTCAGGACCTTGCGCTTGTAAGGCAGGTGTGGTACCCACTGAGCCAAATCCCTAGCCCAACAAAAAAAATTTGAATGCTTGTGTCTTTCTCCTTTTTTCCCCCTCTAACTCTGAATTATAGCCAGGATTCTTACCTCAAGTTTTCTGTAGCAAATCGATTACACACTTAATCATATAAATATCCTAAGTTAAACCAGTGTTTCATGAATGGCTTGAATGAACATTAATGCTGCATTCGCCTCTTTCCCAAACATTGTTTACTTATTTCTTCAGTATGTTCCTTTGCTCAAGTACCAGTTCCTCAGAGAGGCCTATTATGACTACTTTCTGTCATCTTGTCTTCCTTTACATTTCTTAAAAGGATTTAACCACTGCTTAACATATATATGTGTGTATATATATATATATTCACATATGTGTATTTTAATTTTCTTCCTCAGAATATAAACTCTTTAAGAGGGGCAAGGATCATTTGTTGACATATTATTATCTGCATGTAGAATAGTAAGGTACATAGTAGTTACCCAGTAAGCATCTATTAATTGAATGAGGAAAGTGAGAGAAGCCTGAGCTTTGAAATTACACCTGCCTTCAGAACTCAGTTCAAACACTTACTAGCTATATGACCTGGAAAAATTGTAGGCTTCACTTTTGTTTTATTTAAATTCATAAAACAAATGATGATGAAATTTTCATAAACATATTTGGAATATTAAGTAATAACACCTTCATAAGACTAAACAGCAAATAATAGGTGCGCAAAAAAGTGTTAGGTAATAGCTATTGCTATTAATCTAGAATAGCTGTTTATTATACAGTATATGAGTATTTTGTGGGTAATTTTTAGTATTTTATTTCTGTTTTTGTAGGGGGACTTAAAATGAAACTTCTGTTTAGTTTTTTCTTTTACATTGACTATGCTTCTATAACTAATAGAATGCCATTAAAATATTTAAATCTAAAGCAGGATTTCTCAACCTTGGCCCTGTTGTCATTTGGGGCCAGATGATTGTAATCCTGAGGGCTGCTTTGTGAATTAGAACAAGTCTAGCTGCTTTTTTTCTTTTCTTTTTTTTTTGGTATTGGGACTCAAATGCAGGATTTGTACTTTCAAGGCAGGTGCAGTGCCACTGAGCTAAATCCCCGGCCTTAACAGCGTTTTTTATCTCTACTCACTAGGTAGCAGTAACAACCCTGTTTCTTTTTATTTGAAATTTCTAGGAAAAAATTAATACCTGATTGGCCAGAGGATGTTTTGCTTATATCTGATGAATGGATCAACAAAACAAATGCTTAGGTTGATGACTAAGCCGAATTACTTTTCTTCAGTTGACAGGATTAGAGGCATCCTAGCATTAAAATACAGTCACAAAACCACAAGGACATTTTCTGAGAAATGTATTAGGCAGTTTTTTCCTTGTGTGAACAAATTTTATTATAAAAATATTTAGAAATGTTAACTTCCAGTAATAGGTATTTATGTTTTAATCTTTAAATAGATTATATTCTACTTCTCATTTCTCCATTTTTAATTTAGTGTTTCTCTCATACTACCCTTTTATATTTAGGTTAATTAAAGAAAACAAGAAACATCAGGAGCTCATCTTAGACATTTGTTCAGAAAAAGACAATTTAAGAGAAGAACTTAAAAAAAGAACAGAAACAGAGAAGCAGCATGTGAGCACAATTAAACAGGTAAAGAGATAAAAATTTTTAAAGACCATACTTTAATTCAGAAAATATATCCCTTAAAAATTGTGTGTAAATTTAAATATTTTAAATCCAGAGGACTGCTTGGTATTTAAAGCATTCTCTTACATTGCCTAACGTTCTTATATGTAAATTCCTACTTTTATGGTTTGTATGATTAGTCTACTAAATATAACAGAACTATGTTCAAAATAATGCTAAAAATGATTTTACGGTAGCTAGAGTGTTTTTAACCAAACAAGGGACGAAGCAATAGCTAGAAGTGTATATCTAGCATTAGGCTGCTTTTACACTTACATGATAATATAGTTTCACTCTCAGTGTTTTTATAAACTTCGCTCTGAGTTCTGACTCTTATACTTTAGACTATATCTGGCTAACTGACTTGCTGAGCCTTTTTCTTTCTTTTTTAAATGAACTTGGATGTGTGGATCAACAAAATGAATTTTGAATCTTGATAACAAAGCTGAGCTGTTCTTTACCTTTCTGTGCTGCTTTTTCTTCTCTGGACAAAATTAGAGGCATGTTAGTTTTAAAAGTAAGTTAACCAAATGGATATGTTTTAAGAATTTATCATTAGGTGATTTTATCCTGCTTGAACATCATAGGGTATATTTAACTAAAGACACCTATGTCACTAAGAAATATATAATCTTACTGGGCCAGACATGCAGTCCCCTGATAGAAACATTATGTAAGTTGTCACTGTAATTTCCTTTTGTTTCATCTTTCATAGAAAGTTATATAATGAAAGTAAAAGTAAACAATTGATAAAATTAAACCAAGTTTATGTCTTGGTATATCCTTGATATTACCTTATACAATTGAAAGACAATGATATTTGTAGAATTTTATGTATGATATTTAATCCTGATTTGTATGTGCTCTGAGACCATCCCAGGTAAATCAAACTTCATAGGTTAAAATGTGAAGACACCTTAATGATAGTACTAGTGCATATTTTGATAGTTAAGTAATTGCTGATGACCCGAAACTTCATACTGAGCAGATGAGATGAAACTGGAGCTCTTGCTTTCACGAGCATATTAGTGATTTTGCCTTTTTAAAAGAATATTGAGCCATTTGTGGTGGTATATGCCTTATTCACGTTGCTCACTGGTAAGACGCCATACCCAACACCCACAATTTAAGGGAGGAGAGATTTATTTGGCTCACAGTTTCTTAGTTTCACTTCCTAGTCTGGTGGCTCCAAGGTAGGACAGCATGGCAGAGGGGCATAGCAGAGAAGTAGCCGCTGACATCCAGGAGTTCAGGAAGCAGGAGTCATGGAAAGGGCTGGGAAGGGAGATGTAACCTTCCTGGTCACTCACACACTGACCTGCCTCTTGACCAGAACCCACCTCCTAATAGCAAGCCAGCCACGATGCCCCCATAATCCAGTCACTTTCCAAAAGCTCTACCTGTGATCACATGAAGCTTTAAGGGGATATCTAGATCTAAACTATAACAACACCTACCATCCCAACTACTCTGTAATCCCTGCTACTTGGAAGACAGAGGCAGGGGATTGTAAATTAAAAGCTAGCCTGAGCAATTTAGCAAGACCCTGCCATAAAACAAATTTTATTTATTTATTTATTTGTTTATTTATTTATTTGTCTCCTTTATTTTTATTTTTAAAATTAATTTTATTGGTACACTTTTGATACACATAATGATCACATTTCATCATTAGGAATTTGTCCCTGTACATAATATATCTTGATTTCTTCTTTTTTCCCTCATTCCACTCCCCTCCCTTCAAACCTTCTTTCTCTCCTTTTTTACAAAAGCTTTCATTGCATTTTTTTCTTTCTTTTCCATTTCCTTCCCTTACCTCTCTCCTCCACTCCCTTGTTCCCCTTCCTGTTGGAACATTTTCATCCTACTTCCCAGTCAGTTTTGGTCCTTATTTACCCTTTCAGTTTTTCACACAAGAGAAGCAATGCAATATTTAAACGTGTGTATCTGATTTAGTTCACTTCAAAAGTATGGTCTCAAAGTATATCCATTTACCTAAAAATGTCTCGAGTTTATCCTTCATGGCAGAGTATACTCCACTGTATATAAAAACCACATTTTCTCTGTCCACTCATACATTGATGGACATCTGGGCTGTTTCCAAGATTTAGCTATTACAGATTGTGCTGCTATAAACATGGGTGTTCATACATTGCTGTGATATGATGCTTTTAACTCTTTCAGGAAGATACCAAGAAGGGGAATATCTGGGTCAAATGGAACCTCTAGTTTTAGTTTTTTGAGGAATCTCCTCGTATGGATTCCCATATTAGTTGTACACATTTACACTCTCACCAAAGTGGAGAAGGGTTCCTTTTCCCCATATCTTTGCTAGCATTTGTTATTGGTTGATTTTTTTTTTTTTTGGTACCGGTGATCAAATTCGAGTCCTTGCAGTTGCGAGGCAGGAGTGGAACCACTGAGCTAAATCCTCAGTGATTTCTTTTTTTTAAACATTACCATATTTGTTTTCATTGAGTTTATCGGTACTTTTTAAGTATACAGTACAGTTACATTTATCATTGGGATCTTGTACTAGATCTTGGTTCTCATTTTTTCCCCATACCCTTGCTCTCCCTTCACCCCCTCCCCACTCTCCTATTTACAAAGACTTTGTTTCCGTTTTTTTCTTTTCTCATATTTTTTTCTTTTCCCTTATTTCCTTTCCCCTATCCTACCTACTTCCCCTACACCATTAGCCCTTTTCTTCCCATTTCACGTTATCAGTTATACAATTTGGATCTTATTTACACTTTTAGTTTTTGACACCAGAGAAACTATCTGGTATTAACACGTGTTTGTCTTATTTATTTTACTTTAGAGTATATCCTCAATATGAATCCATTTTCCTGTGAATGACTCTAGTTTCTCACCCTTTATGGCTGAGTAGTACTCCGTTTTATAGAAAAACCACATCTTCTTAATCCAGTCTCCAGTTGCTGGGCATTTGGGCTGTTCTCTTTTTTTTGGTTGGATCCATCTCTGGTTTTGGTACCAGGTAATGCTTGCTTCCAGGAATTAGTTTGGGAATATTGCTTAGCTTTTAATTTCATTAAAGAGTTTGAAGAGTAATGGCATTCAGTCTTCTCTAAATTTCATGTAGAATTCAGCAGTGAATCCATCAGGACCTAGGCTTTTTTTGTGGTTGGTAGTTTTTAAATTAACTCTTCAAGGGCTGAGGGTTTATTTAGCTCAGTGGTTCCGCTGCCTGCCTTGCAAGCAGAAGGACCCAAGTTTGATCCCTGGTACCAAAAAAATAAAAATAAAATAAATAAATAAATAAATAACTCTTCAATTTCATTGACTGACATCGGGTTATTTAGAATTTTTATATCTTCTTGATTCAGCTTTGGTAATTCATATGTATCAAGGAATCTGTACATTTCTTCTGTGTTTTCCATCCTACCAGAGTACAGGTTCTCAGGCAGGTAATGATGATCCTGTGGATTTCTGCAGAATCTGTTGTGATTTTACCCCTTTCTTTCCAAATTACATGGATTTGCATCTTTTCCTTTTTTGATCAAGTTGGCTAAGGGTTTGTCGATTTTATTTAATCTTTCAAAGAACCGACTCAATTCACTGATACTTTTAATTATTTTCTTAGCCTCAATTGCACTAATTTTTGCTCTGATCTTTATAATTTCCTCTCTTGTAAGTTCTTTGGGTTTAACTTGCTCTTCCTTTTGTAGAAACCTGAGGTTTAAGAGTAGGTTATTCATTTGAGCTCACTCTTTCTGATATGGGAATTCACCACTATAATTTTCCCTCACAGGACTGCTTTCATTGCATCCCGTGAGTTCCGGTATGTTGTATTGGCATTATCATTTTCTTGATAGCAAGCCAGGTATAATGCCCTCATAGTCCAGTCGTCTCCAACCATTTTCACATGAAACTTTGAGGTAACTTCTAGATCTGAACCATAACAATACCTGTAATCCCAGCTACTTTGTAATCCCTACTACTTGGGAGATGGAAGCAGGTGGGTTGTAAATTAGAAGCCATCCTGGGCAATTTGGCAGGACCTTGTCTCAAAACAAAATTTTTCAAAAAGGTGTGGGTATAGTTCAGTGGTAGAAATTGCGTGCCTGCCATGCATGAGGTCCTGGATTCAATCTCCAGCACTGGCAAAAAGAGAAAGAGGGAGAGAGAACCAGCATTAGGTTCATCTTTCTTTTGCTGGCATTTTGAGAAGTTTATGCTTCTGAATAGAAAACAAGTATAGCAGGATTTTCTTTCTTTCTTAATTTTGTCTCTGGATCTCTCCTGTCCAACATGGTAACCATTAGCCACAGGTAACTACTGAGCATGTGGAAGATGGCTAGCCTAAATGGAAAGTTCCTATATAAGTGTAAAACATCTGATTTAGAAGATATAATACAAAAAGTATAAAAGAAAACATTTTTAAATATTAAAATGATGATAATTTGGATATTTGAGGCTTAATAAACTATTTTGTCTGTTTCATTTTGCTCTGTAAAAATGTGATCATTAAGAGGACTGGGGATTTAGCTCAGTGGTTCTGCTGCCTGCCTTGGAAGCACAAGGTCCCAAGTTCAATCTCCTGTACCAAAAAAAAAAGAAAGAAAAATATGATCATCAGAAAATCACAGCTATGTGTGTGATTTGTTTTTCTATTGGACAGTGTTGCTTTAGGTAATTTCATAAGGAAAATTGATAAAATACATGTGCCTAAACTACTGTTTAGGTGTTTTAAAACTTTTTATTTATTTAGGTTTTTTGAGATAGGGTCTCAAAATGTAGTTCATGCTGGCATCGAACTTGTATTGATTCTCCTGCCTCAGTCTCCTCTAAGTGCTGGGATTGAAGGTGTGGGCCATTGTACCCAGCTAAACTTTTTTAAAGGTATAATTTACGTACTTTATAGTTCACCCATTTCAAGTATATGAATAAGTTGTTTTCAGTTGGAAGTTCACAAACTTCACCACAGTTTTAGAGCATTCTGTCACCTAAGAAAAAACCCCATATCCAGTAGTAGTCAGTCCACATCTTCCATCTGTGTAACCCCCACCCCCATGGAAAAACTGGTCTTTCTGTTGCTGTTAATTTCCCTCTTCTGGACCCTGCATAGAAAGGGAATCATAGTACAGCCTTTTGTGTCTAGATTCTTTCACTTAGCATAATGTTTTCAAAGTTTCATTCAAGTTGTAATGTGTACCAGTACTTTGGGTGATTGAATAATACTCTATTTTATGTGTATTAGTCACCTTTCTATTGCTAGGACAAAATACTTGATGTCCAATTTATTTTGTTTTTGGTACTGGGGATTGAACTCAGGACCTAGCGCTTTTGAGGCAGGCGGCAGAACCACTGAACTAAATTCCCAGCCCTTGACATACAATTTAAAGGAGAAAAGGTTTATTTTGGTTCATAGTTTCAGAAGCTTTATTCCGTGGTCAGATGGCTTCGAGACAGAAATATTTTGGTGGAAGGGCATGGTGGGGGACAGCTACTAACCTCCTGGCAGCCAAGAAACTGAGTGAGAGAGAAATACCAGAAAGGAAGAAGATGGGAACATGATGTACCCTTCGAAGGTGTACCAGCAGTGACCTACTTCTTCCAACCAGACCCCGTTTTATCATCAATGGGTTAATCTATTGATTAAGTTAGTCCAGTCACCTCCATGAGCATCTTAAATCAAATCATTGATTAAGATTACCAAGTATAGATGTGCAACATTTTATCTCTTCACCAGTTGATGGACATTTGGATTGGATTGTTTGACTATTTGATGCCTCTGCGAACATATGCTTTCATTTATCCTTTGATATATACCTAGGCATGAAAAGAAAACGTTGGGAAGTGTATAGAGGTATTGGAATTTTTTAAAAGTTTGGTAAAATTTACCTGCATAGCCATCTAGACCTGAATTTTTCATGATGGCTAGTCGCTCCCCGCCCCCCTGCTTCTATTTATTTTTCAATTCAGTCCTTCATGGGTCTCTTCAGGGCTTCATGTTTCTTCTTGAGACAGTATTGGTAATTCGTGTTTTACTAGGAATTGTCCATTTCTTCTAAATTAAATCAGTCATGGTATTTGTCTTTTTTATTTCTGTAATTTAGTAATAATGTCCCTATTTCATTTTGATTCTAGTAGGCCAGGGATTTAGCTCAGTAGTTCTGCCTCCTGCCTCGCAAGCACAAAGACCCAAGTTCAATCCCTGGTACCAAAAAAAAAAAAAAAATCATTTTGATTCTAGTAATTGAGTCTTCTGTCTCAGTATAGGTGAAAGTTTAGCCCCCTGCCGCAAGCACAAAGACCCAAGTTCAATCCCTGGTACAAAAAAAAAAAAAAAATCATTTTGATTCTAGTAATTGAGTCTTCTGTCTCAGTATAGGTGAAAGTTTGTCACTTTTATTAATCTTTTCTTTTAATTTTGATTGTTTCTGCACTTTTTATTCTCTATTTCATCCATTTTCACTTTTATTGTTTTCTTTCTTCCAGTTCTTTAAGATAGAAGTTTAAATTACTGATTTAAGATCTTTCTTCTTTACAATCTAGTTAGTAATTTCCCTCTAAACATTGCATCTAGTAATTTTGGTCTTATCTATTAATTTTTATTCATCAGCTGTTACTGATTTCTCCCACTGATTATTTAGGAATATGGAGTATGTTATTTAATTTTCACAAATTTGTGAATTTCCTAAATTTCTACCTATGATTGACTCCTAATTTTATTCTATTTTGACTGGAGAATGTATTCTGTATGATACCAGTCTTTTAAATTTGTTGAGGTTTTGTTTATAGCCTAGCATTCATTCTGTCCTGGAAAATATTGCATGTACAGAGGATGCGCATTCTGCTGTTGTGGGATAGAGTTTTGTAGAGAGGTAGGTATTAGATCCAGTTGTTTTATTTATAGTACAGTTCAAATCTTCTGTTTCCTTGAAATCATCTATCTCTGTCCATTTGTGGAAACGGTATTAGAGTCTCCAGCTATTTTCTCCTTCATTTTTATTAGAGTTTTTTTTTTTTTTTTTTGGTGCATTTTGATGCTGTTGTTAGATGTAGGTAAGATCTTTTTGATGAATTGATCTTTTTATCATTATAAAATGTCCTTCATCTCTACAGTGTAACATTTTTATCCAGTCTTTTTTGTTTGGTATTAGTATAGCCACTCCTACTTTCCTGTGATTGCTGTTTACAGGCAATTATCTTTTTCCATTTATATTTAGTCTACTTGTATCTTTCAAACAAAAGTGTAGGCAATTATGGACTGAAACCTCTACAAACTGTGAGCTAAATAAACCTTTCCTCTCTTACCTTGTGGGTGTTGGTTATTTTGTCTCAGAAACGAGAAAAGTAACTAAGATAATTTCTTTGAATTATTCAATAATTCTTTGAATTATTGGTAGATACTACAAAGCTTATATATACAGTGATTATATAATGTGATACATTTGATGTATCACAGTCTCTTCAGGTTTATACTAATTCCAGTGGGACAGAGAAACGTTGACAGTTTTGATTTCTGTAATTAGAAATTCATTACATTTGTTTAAGATGTATATATTCATTTCAGGTATTAAATCTGTTTAGTATAGCTATAAAAATAATCTAAAAGTAATTTTCTTTACAGCTAGAAACAAGAATAGAAGAACTTAATAAAGAAGTTAAAACTTCCAAAGATAAACTAGTAGCTCAGGATGTTGCAGCTAAAAATGCAATTCAGCAGTTACACAAAGAGATGGCTCAAAGGATGGAACAGGTATCATCGTTCATTATCATTGTAATTTGACTCTTTCTTTTTTATTAAAATTAATTCTGTAAGAATAGGTCACTTTATTTGTATAAAAATGTACTTTTAAAAATTAAAGCAATATATTAAGTACATAATAATTGTTACACAGTTAACTAAGGAAGTGAATGAAATAAAAAGTGAAAGCCCTTATTCATCTCTATTTCTGCTTTCTCTGCCTCCAAGCTTTTTATATCCCATTCCTTGTCTCATAGCTAATGATTGATATTTTGGTTATATATCAGATCACGTATATAATACAAGTCATACATACTTATGTATGTATCTTTTTTTATTAGTGTATTATGTGTTATAACAAAATTCCTGAGTCTGGGTACTCAAGAAAAAAAGAAGCTAATTTAGCTTACAGTGCTGGAAACAGAGGACCAGGTCAAATCATTGAAATAGAGGCAGGTCTTTTCTTTGCTTAATTCTTGAGCTGCTGTTTAGTGCCTCCTGCTGGTGGAATCCAACAAAGCAGATATGGAGGAATAAATGAAAATAACAACCATATCAGCCAAAGGAAAAGGAGAGGGTAAAATATTAATGCTGTATAATTTTCCATAATTTTTGAATTTTCCCTTTATCCTCAAATTTTATGGCACAAGTCCTGGGAATTTGTTTTAAAACTATTGATAATGTGGTAAAATATTTACTTATATTTTTATTTGAAAAATACTTCTTATTAATGCTAAATAATATTTTTTCAAGGCCAATAAGAAATCTGAAGAGGCACGCCAAGAAAAAGAAGCAATGGTAATGAAGTATGTAAGAGGTGAGAAGGAATCTTTAGACCTTCGAAAGGAAAAAGAAATTCTTGAGAGAAAGCTTAGAGATGCAAATAAGGAATTTGAGAAAAACATTAACAAAATTAAGCAACTTTCTCAGGAGAAAGGACGGTTGCAGCAGCTGTATGAAACAAAGGTATAACTTATGCTCTTGTACCTATTTGAAATGTATTCTTTTTCTTTTTCTTAAATCATAACATGTTTAAAACACTCAAATGCAAAGTTATTTTTACTGGTTTACCTACTAAGAACATGAATAGTTCAGGAATTGCAGCATCTCATTACCTGTCTACAGAAAGGGTTGCATATGAATAATGAGGAGCTTTTGATATATTGGTACATGTATATAACATATTTTTATTATTTTCATCCCTGTCCTTCCCTCCCCACTCTTCCCTTTTTGCTCTGGCCCATCTCTTTAAAGTCTACTTTCTAATTTCATGTTATCATGATAATGTCTTTTTTTTAAACTTTCTTTTAAAATCTATGTATTTTTAAATTAGTTAGGTTTCGAGTGGAGACTTTATTTTGGTACAGCATTTATACAGTAGTGTAAAATATGAATAGTTTTAGAGTCAAGTAATTTTACAAAAGTATAATCTGGCCAGAATCTTAATATAACACTTATTAACCATAGAATATAATTTTTTTCTTTTAGGTAAAAATGTATCCTCCTTACTCTGTCCTAGGGAATTTTATTATTTTTTTTTTCTTATTGTTAACTTTTAATTCAGAAATACTATTACTAGCTTCAGGAATTCTAGAAAAATCAATTTAGTTTATATTTCCCTGTAATGTTAGCCTGTTAAGAATCATAAAAGAGGGGCACTGCCTGCCTCGCAAGCACAAGGACCTGAATTCAATCCCCGCTACCAAAAAAAAAAAAATCATAAAAGATATGTTTGTGCTTATAACACATCTTGTTAATTATCTTCATGATTATTAATAACATTTAGGATTTTACTGCCCTCTTTATTGTATGAACTTTGAATCAGTTTTGTGGCTTATGGGCCATGCAGCACTTGAATTATTGTGTTACTGCACTGATTACTTTTAGGGAATACAAAAGACACACAGATAAATAGCAGATTGTGTAAGTGAAAAATATGACTGAGTGATGTTATTTTAGGAAGGTGAAACGACTAGACTCATCAGAGAAATAGACAAACTAAAGGAAGATAACAACTCTCACATCATTAAAGTAAAGTGGGCACAGAACAAATTAAAAGCTGAAATGGATTTACATAAGGTGAGTACATATAATGCAGTGGAATAATGATTAGAATTAGTTTTAAGAGCAAATGCAGTTAACAGTTAATGGGGCTTGGAGCTTCCTTGAGTGACTCCTACAGGATAATTTTTTCCTAAATATTTGGTGATTATGGAAAAGAACATTTTTTACGTGTTTTAATGGTTTGAAATGTTAAACTTTATCATTCACAGTTTACGACATCCAAAGTTGCCTTGTTCTTTAAACATATTTTTGGGTTGAAAAATTGCGGGGGCTGGATTTATAAGTTACCACAATTGAAAATAAACTCTTGAAATTTGTAGGAATAATTAATGATACTAAGGTTCTTTTTTTTTTTTTTTCCCGGTACCAGGGATCAAACTCAGGACCTTGTACTTGCAAGGCAGGTGGTGACACCATTGAGCTAAATGGTGACACCATTGAGCTAAATCCCCAACCCCACTAAGGTTCTTACTATCAAGAGACATACATTATTATTTATAAATAAATTAACATAATTCTTGTAACTTTTATTTTTTTGATGCTGGGGATTAAACCCAAGGCTATCACTGAACTACATTCCTGACCCTTTTTTATTTTGAGTCAGGATCTTGCTAAATTGTTATAGCTGGGTTCGGATTTGTGATTCTCCTGCTATGGGCTCCTGAAGTGCCATAATTACAGGTGTGCCTATCATGCCTGACAGCTGACCTGTTTTTATATATATAATTCCATTGATATTGTGCTAGCAAATGTTTTAATTAACATAATGAAAAGTAATTTATAAACTACTAACTGATGCCATAAATTTAAATAGTAACTGGACTAGTATTTGAGGTAATAAAAATCTACAATTGATAAAATATGAAGTAAAACAACAACTCTGAAATGTGTCTTAAACAGAAGAGAATATTTTGAAAATACATCAATTTCCAAAAATAATCTTGTCTTAGTTACTTTTCTTGTTGTTAAGACAAAAGTACCCAACACCAAAAGTTAAAGGAGTTGAGGTTTATTTAGCTCACAGTTTGTAGAGGTTTCAGTCCATAATCTGCTGGCTCCAAGGCAAGGTGGCATCACAGAGGAGAAACAGGGACAACCAGAGCTCTTTCTGTCCCTTATATCTTATCCAGGTTACTTGGGGTGAGCAGCACTCACACCCTTAATCCTTCTTCCCTTGATCCTAGCATTGCACCATCAATCAATTCCAGGGCCACACACTGTTGATCCAGCCACCTCTGAAAAGCTCCACCTATGACCACATGAGGCTTGGGTGGTGGTGGCATCTAAACACAAACCATAACAAATCCTAATGGTATTATTTAAAACCATAATTTTGAATTACCACATTAAATAACTCCAAATCAATAGAACTGATAACCTTTGGATATTTATATATTTATCAGGGAAAACTGTAGGGGGAGTAGTCTACATCCATCTATATATCTACGTATCTTTGAGGTTGGCCTCTAACTCAAGGCAATCCTCCTGCCTCAGCCTCCCAAGGATAGGATTACAGGCATACATCACCACACCCAAATGAGTGGTCCATATTGATAATGGTCAAAGGTATGATAGAGAACAATGTATTCCGCTTAAGTCTGAAGTGAACTAACTACACACAGTTGTGTGAGAAAACTACAAGGCAGAGAAAGAACTTCCAAAAAATAGCAAGGCAACAATCCCTAGAACTCAATGAGGCTGTCACATTTAGTTGCCCTTTACTTAGGGTGCAGAATGAAGAATTAAAATCCCAAATCCATATGGACAGTAATGATTTTTAACTGCCCAAGTTGCTTTAAGATCTGAATACACTCATTCTAATATCAAAGTCTGTGTCACTTTCATTACCTTCATCTATAGTCTTGAGATAGGATTCTGAAACCTACTGGAATACTAGCATTGAAGAGTTGAAAAGTTAAGATCTGTGAGCCCTGTGTGTTCAAAGAATGCGGTGATAAGACATTCTTAATGACAGCTTTGAGGTCAGATAAACCAGGTATTCTATAAGAGATAGAGAGGTGAGTTAAGGCTGATTTCTGTAAGGTTACACTGTATGGATTGCTAAAAAGTGAAAATAACAAACACTATTGACTTGGTATATAGAAACTGGATATGTACCAATTCCTTTTAAGTAAAGGCATTTATTAACCAACAAGCATTTAGTTGTGTTCACAGCATTGTGTTATGTAATATGGAGTAATAAACGCCGTGGAAGACAAAATCATTGCTTTTGAAGCATACCTGAGAGAGGCCCCCTACTTTCCTATTTTATGTGTTTAGTGGCTATGAGAGGGGTCTCTGGCTCCAAAAGCATAAGATTTAATTATGATCTGTGTAATCTGAGCTACCTGCTGAGAGGTGGACAAGAGACCTGAGACTCTTAGTAAATTCTTTTTAGGTTCCCTTTCCAGTTTCTTGGTCCTGCCCACCAAGTATTCGGTATGGGTTACTGTCTGTATCCGTTATGAACATTAGCCTATGTTCATGGCATATTACCAAACAAGCCTTGACTAGGTAGACTGGACATCCAGATCAACATCAAACAATACAAACTGTTCCCTTCCGTTAAAACTTCTTCAGAGATTTAACTAAAAATATTTTTAATACCTACCTTCTAAAAAACAAAAGCCTTTTATGTTGAATGTGGTAAGTACAGACAAACTTCCTTCTCTTGTTACGTTTTCACCTGCCTGGTCTCAGGGTAAGATGATCTTACTGAAGCATAAATATGGCTGGCAACAGATGTACCTAGGGTTGTTGAGCAACATGGTTTGGAGCGGTAGGGACTTGGCAGGTTTTTTTCTTCAGAGGAAGCTGGAGTGTTAGGCCAGCCGAGACCGATATACCTGTATTGCAGATCTAATGTGATGCATTCCTTCCAGTAAGTCTCCTAGAGCAAGACTCTGCTATTCAGTGTGCTTTTCTCCAGAGGTTAATATGTTAGCAGTAAGAGTCTCATTCTTACATGGTTCAGTTCTCATTAGAAACTAGACTACACTTTAAATTAGCCTTTTCATTTTATCCCACTTAGCTATTATCTGTGTTCTATTCTATAATCATTCTGACCTATAACTATATTCTTGAGTAAGGGGATAGAATGAGGTATAATTCTGGAAGAATTCCAGGGTACAGCGCAAGGAGAGGAACATAAACAGAGCCCAACAGTATCCCTGAATAAAGGAGACAGTTCAAAGTATACAGGGCCTGAAGAGTTTCAGAGAAGAGAAAACAATGGGGCAACAATCCTTAAGAGCTCACCAGGGCTAGGAACTGTTTGTGTTTTCACCAGCTGAAAAGACCCCTCAACACACAAGGCATCACGTAGCCCTCAGAAGGGTATTACGTTTGTTGTGGGGACTAATTACCCTTGTAGTAAGGGTATGAACCTACTGTTCAAAGCTTTAAACATGCAACCCTGTTTCAGGTAAATTAACTAAGTTCTAAAACAAAAAATTATAAAAAGTAATTATAAGAACTTCAGCACCCAAGACCATTAAATTCATTATGCTTGGCTTCTAACTAAAAAACTATTAGCATGCAAAGACGTAGGAAAATATAACCCATAGTAAGAAAGGAAGAATCTAGGAACAGTTCCAGAAATTACACATAATATAGAATAGAAACAGTTCTCATTTAACCACCTAGTTTCTTTGCTGTGACTAGGTCATTAGCTGAATTGGTTGCTAAATGAAGAATTGTATATAATATATACATTACAATATTCAGAACAAAGAAGTGTCCAAAGGAAACCCCAGCTTGGTGACTTGGCTTCTGTTTGCATAACTCTTACATGCAGTACTATAATGTATAAAAACAGCCAGCTACAGCACTGTACAGAACAATCAGCAAAAATTATAGTACTGTAAAACAAGGTGCACTGTATAAAATAAAGTCATCGAGGCTATATAAACAAGATGTACAGAACTGTACAAAAAAAAGGATGGGTTATACATCCAAACAGTAGTGAAACAGATGGATCATTAAATGAGTAATATCTATAATGGACAAGGATGTTAAAAACAGCTACTTTAAGCTGGGGGTGGTGGTGTATGTCTGTAATCCCATTCCTTGGGAGGCTGAGGCAGGAGAATTACAAATTTGAGGCCAGATTGGACTACATAGTTCAAGATCAACCTGGACTACGGAGCAAGACCCTGTCTCAAAAAACTAAAAGAAAAAAAAAAAAAAAACCAAACAGCCACTTATATACACTCTCATAGGTTTACTGCAATAAATGAAACCATAAATAAGGAGAGACAGAAATTATGAAAATAGACCAAATTGATAGTGTTTGAGATGAAAAAGACATTGAATAGAATATATACTAGATTAGATACTACAAAAGGCAAGTTTTGTGCACTTGAAAACAGCATTAGGAAACTGTGCTGATAACTTCCAGATTGATAACGTTTAGCCAGAACTTTACTGCAATAAATGAAACCATAAATAAGGAGAGACAGAAATTATGAAAATAGACCAAATTGATAGTGTTTGAGATGAAAAAGACATTGAATAGAATTAATACTAGATTAGATACTACAAAAGGCAAGTTTTGTGCACTTGAAAACAGCATTAGGAAACTGTGCTGATAACTTCCAGATTGATAACGTTTAGCCAGAACTCCAGATTCATATGAACTGCTTGACATCTGATGTCTTGGATGAATTTAAACTAACAATGTGCCACTTCTCCCCATGGCTTCCCTGTCTCAATAAATTACATTCTATCCTTTTAGTTGCTAAAAGCTTTGATTTCTTAGCCACTACATCAAATCCCTCGGTTCATATCTTTACTTAACTGTCCCCTTCTTTCTTAATGAAACTTTCCCTGGATATCCTAGTAACACCTTGACACCTCCCCCAGAGTTTCTCATGTCCTTGCTTTATTTTTATTTCTGAGCACTTGTCCTTAATACATTTTACTTCAATGTTTATTATACCCTTATTACTAGAATATCAGTTTCTTGAGGGCAGAGATCTTGTCACGTTTTGTTACGGTTTTATTATGGTTAGCCTCATGCACTCAGAAGTGTGATTTTTGAAAGGTGATTGGATTGTGGAGCTTATAGCTGACTTGCTGTGAGGAGGTGGGGCCTGGTCAGAAGAGGCGGGCCAGGCTTCTTCAGTCCTTCTCTGCTTCCTGCCTGCCATGGCCCTGTGCCTTGTCCTACTGTGTTGGAGTCAACTAATAGAGGACTGAAACCGATACAAACTGCAAGCCAAATAAACCTCTCCTCCTTTAAACTGTAGGTGTCAGGTATTGTGTTCCAATGTCAAGGAAAGTAACTAAGAGACTTTTCTCATACAGCTGTTTCCCTAGAACATAGAACAGTGCCTGTGCAGTCGGTGCTCCACTAATGCTGACTGATCGTATGAAATGCACAGTACCTAACCTAACCACACTGAATGTGATTTTTACTTTTATTTGAGTAGATGAAATAAGTACCTAACATGTGCCAGGCTCTGTTTTAGTTATTGATGATTTAGTAATAGAAAAAAAAAATCCTTTTTCTTTTCTCTCGAGTTTGGTATTTAAAAATTAATATTTGAAAAATATCCAAATGACTTTATATTTCAAAAGTGATAGAGTTTTAATACAAGTGAATTTATTATTAAAGACTAGTGACTCACAGTGTATAGCTAAGTATTTAACTGTATGTTAGATTTTGTCTCTGTTACTTTCTCAACTGCTTAGACCCAAAACCCAGCAACTAAAACTTAAATGAGTGTTTATTTTTGAGTCACAGTCTCACAAGTTTTAGTCCATGTTCAGCAGGCTAAACAAAGAAACAGCATGGCAGAGTGGCAGGCACTGTGAGAGAGAGCTGTTTACCTGGTGGTAGTGAGGAAGCAGACAAGGCAGGAGCCTGGCCGGGAGACAGGCCCTTCTGTGGCACAGCCCCAGTGACCTGCCTCTACCCAGGCTCCACCTCCTAACAGCAGGTCAGCTATAGCATTGGAATCCAGCCCCTTCCAGAAGCCCCACCTATGAGTGCGTGAGTCTCCTGGGAGACATCTAGATATAAACCATAATCGATTTATTTTTTAAATGACATATAAGGACCATGTGAGGCATAGCTGCGATTTAAATGGTTCAAGAATGGAAGGAAAGGCATTCCAAGTCAAAAAGCAAGAAGAAAGGGAAATGATTATTCAGTGGTTGGCGAGACTAAGCAAAGCAGAAGGTTTATATTAGATATTTCTCCTTTAATTCACCAAATTAATCACTGAGCTAGTTGCTGTGCAGAAGATACATCTCAACTAGGGAAGCATGTAAGCTATTGTATAGTATATCAGTTTGTTAGAATCCCTGGATTTTATCTATGGAAAGGCAGACTGGCAGCATCCACCACTTTTCTGAAGGGAGCTACTAGGGGTTAATATCTGAGCTCATTTGAAATCTTATGATAGCCAAAACTGGGATACCGGATGGGTTGTCTACAGGAGAGAGTTTGAGAGTAAGGGCAGTATTTTTGAAAATCGTCAGAGTAGGAACCCACTCAAGGAATAATAAAGAGGGAAGAAAGGGGAGAATGTTGTCTTGCTGGAACTAGAGGAAAAATATTTAGAGTCCCAGGTGGTCAGAACTGCACCAGGTAAAAATAAAGAGAAAAAAGTAATTGGGTTTGATGACAGTAATCCCTGAAAACCTTAAAAATTGCTATTTTAGAAGACTGGTTGGGAATAGAAACCAAGTTGTAGCATCAATCAAACGGTTTTGAATAAATACCACTGCCAAATATTAGCTTTTACGATTATGCAAAGAACTCTTTAACACTTTGCTCTTCTTTTTTTATTAGGTGAGTACTTCTAGTACTTTTCTGAAAACTCTATCAAATCTGCCTTTAGTTAGTGGCTATCACTTAACTGCAGACCATTTTAACTTCTTGTCAGAAATATAAAATATTTTTACTAAAGTAGTATTCAACCTCTCAGTGCATGCAGTGACAGGTCAAGAATTTTTCCTACTGTGTAGTCACCACTTACCATTTGTCATTCACTGTGGCTACCTTTGGTTCTTTTTGTCAATGCAGGAAACCAAAGATAAACTTAAAGAAACAACAACAAAGTTAACACAAGCAAAGGAAGAAGCAGATCAGATTCGACAGAACTGTCAGGATATGATAAAAACGTACCAGGTATGCTTGGATTTTCAGATAGGTGGCAAATTATAGTAACTATCAGTACTCTGGTTTCATTCAATTTCTGTATCTGCAATATTTTCGGTATATAGTGGATTTGGTAAAACAGTTAAATAAAATGCAAGTTATTACCTTTGTTAAAGTATCTCTGGCTCAAATAAAATTTCTAGAAAATATCAGACGAGTGTAAGGAAATATGTAACTTCAAAAAAACTTACTCCGTTATGTATCATAAGTGTGCTATTTTGTTTATGCAAAATTGATAAATTTTTCAAAGCATTCTTCAATTTTAAGTATGTAAGCTATATGTATTTAACAGTACTTAATTGTAAAGCTTTTTTCACTTTTCATAGTTTAAAACTTTATAAATTGTCATACTCTTTAAAATTTTCTTTTCATTAGGAGTCAGAAGAAATTAAATCAAATGAACTTGATGCAAAGCTTAGAGTCACAAAAGGAGAACTTGAAAAACAAATGCAAGAAAAATCTGACCAGCTAGAGGTGGGTAGTTTTGCTCTTAATGTATTAAATCCAGAAGTAGATTGAGTAGGGATTGCCATTTGCTTTTAAGGTCCTTTGGAAGGAGCATTTTAGAGATAGTTTAGTGCATTATGATTTGTGGTTTCTTTTAAAGATGCATCATGCCAAAATAAAGGAACTAGAAGATCTGAAGAGGACTTTTAAAGAGGGTATGGATGAGCTACGGACACTAAGAACAAAGGTAATCAAAACTTGAGTTGTAATTTTGAATTTATTCTTGATTTTTAAAGTAGTAGGGAAAGGATATTTATCTAGGAATTCAAAAGAATTCAGAGAATCTACAATAGTGATTCCCTAGTAACATAATTGACTTTTGTTGAAATGAAAGTGCCTTCCTTGTTAGTCCCTTTAAAGTGTTCACCAGACATTCCTATTTCATAGTACATTTGTTGCATCTGTAACATCCTTAGGACTTTCATCTAAAGACAGTCTTTTCAGCAAATCAATTGGAAAGATAGTTGGACCTTAGAACTATAACTATCAGGAAATAATAGGAAGACTTTGTATTTCTTCTGTATGTATTTAATAATCCTAGATGGATGCAGTCTTAATTTTTAACAGTTAAATCTGTATTCTTTATTGTCAGAGCAATGTCCCTTCTACTATGAATGTGAGTGTGATATATTATTACTGTATATCATTTATTTATTTGAAACAGGCTTTCAAGCAACCACTTTGAATTTGAGATCACTTAATAATTTTTAGTGTTTTTTATATCTCTTCCTCTGTAATCCATGTCAGGTATTTGAGGTGTGTAGGCAAGATATATCCTTTTTACAGATGAGAAAATGGAAATTCTATAAAAATAGAATATGTCTTTGACATACAAATTCAGTTCACTCACGAGGGCTGTTTGTAACTCAGATTCGTCAGTTGAAGGCTTCAGCTCCTTTACACAGCCTTCAAAGTCACTCTCCTATACACAGGCAGATCTAAGTGCCTTAGAGAGACATTGGCCCAGGATTTCCCAATTAATCCCAAACAGGAAAGGATGTTGTGATGTTCCATCTAAAACTCTTTAAGGGTTCGATCTGTATCTGAGACCATCTGGAAGCACAAGCAGCCAGCATTTGGTTCATAACTCAAGACTTTGGTCATAAGTTAAAACTAAAATTCTAGTCATAACCCAAATCATTCATATATAAGTCTGGTCATAACTTGAGGGTCCACTGGAAAGTCACATGCTAAACTCCCATGACTAAATCATAAAAAACCTGAAACTGAAATCTAGGACTTAAATCATTCCCATTATATTTTCTTCACATGAAATAATACTGCTTTAGAATTAAGCACTATTTGAAATAGTTTATAAGAAACAAGAAGATACTGTTCATAGTTTAACTTGATTATGATCATTTGATAGGCAAAATGTCTAGAAGATGAACGATTAAGGACAGAAGATGAATTATCAAAATATAAGGAAATAATTAACCGCCAAAAAGCTGAAATTCAGAATTTATTGGACAGAGTGAAAGTTACAGACCAAATACAGGAGCAGCTTCAAAGGTATAAAATGAGCAACCCCTCTTTGTATTAGCAATCTCCTTTTTAATTCTATCTCAAGATTCTATTTTTAAAATATAATTATTGCATTAAGAACAATTTTTAGAGCTTTATAGCTAAAATTTTTTAAATTTATTTCTTCACCTGAACTTTTTTGGATAATCTGTACCCTCCTTCATAGCTTCTAAAAATCAGAGTTTATGTTCCCTAATCATTGGAGTAGTGATTTATGAGTCAGATTAGATTTATTTAATTTTTTAAATCTATGCTTTAGCTTTCAAATTTCACACAATGCTTGCTTTTTCTTCTAAAAGGTAAATCTAGATCTGTATCTAGATCTAGATCTCTGCATGTTTATGGCTTACCATGTCAGGAGCTGATGTTATTCTTTGTCTTCTCATAAAACTATTGAACTAACTCTACTCATGGTATTGCCTGGCAGAGCCTAGATTCAAGTTGAATCAAATAATGTCTTCTTTTCCGCACCTTACTTATATCCAAGCTGCTGAGTAGTGCTAAAATATCCTCACTGTTATCCAGATTGTATAAATTTGTGGTCACAATATTCAGCCAGGAATATATCAATGCATGTCTAATCTTACCATATGTCTTTGGTCAGAGCCTTCTACCCATCTTCTGAGCCATTCTTCAAATTTCCTCCACAAATTGAGGTTTCCCTTTCTCTATATATCTGGTCCTCACAGTTGATTAATTCTTCACAGAATATATGGGAGCTGACTCGTGACAGTATTCTCAACTTCTTGTTTTTGAAGTCTTTTGAATTGCTTACATCTGCAAACAGATCATGAAAGAAATGTTCCTGCTCCTCTGTGAATTGAATTATTCTACTTCTGTGAATACCCTGGTCTCCTGCCTTCTCTGCATCTTTCTTGATTATAATTTACTTTTTGTCTTATAGCTCTCCACTGATTTTTCTTTCTACATTTAAATATGATTATATGTTTATTACCGGTTATTTTTCTCCTTTCCTTCACAATTGGGCTTCTTAATAGAATCATCTGTACTCATTCATTTCCTCACTTCCTGTGTTGTTTTTCTCCATTTCATTCTAGCTTCTACTGCAACATTAACTGTTAAAAACTGATGCTTTTTTATGTAGCAGACATAGCTCAGAATTTTCCTTCATTTCTTTTTTTTTTTTTTTTTTTTTTTTTTTTTTTTTCTGGGGTTTTA